ACCACACAGTCCGGAAGACCCACATCAGCTAAAGGTAAATTATTGGGCTAGCTTTATAAAAATATTAGGGCACTTTTTATAGCCAGCATGGAATTGGAAGCTATTTTGCTGAGGATTTTGGCCTATATCCAAAATGAATTACAAATGAGGTCCAGTTTGGTTTTGGGTAGGTGAGAATCAGAAAATGTGGTCACACACTGGATCGAGCAGTGCCAGTGCAAATGAAGAATTAAAGGAAACCAGAAGGTTAATTTTCAAATTCATTTGGAGGGTTTTAAGGAACCAAAAGCAAGTGTAAGATTAAGGGTGGGGAAGATCACAATCTAAGACTATTCAGGTGAAGGAAGCAGTGAGTAAACTGAGTTTTTACACTGAAAACATAGTCCTTGGATTACTTGGTTAGCTTCATTAAAAGGGGTTATAGGAGATGGTATATATCACTTGATTTAAATAAACGGCTTCTCAAAGGAAGAACTGCAGTCTGAAGGGCCAGCTATTCCCAAAGGTCTGCTCTTGCAGAGGCATCTGCAGAATCTGAAACTTTCATTGAACTGATGAAAGCAGTATTGCACCATAAGCTCTGCTACTGCATATGATATCACAGTATTAAACAAAAGGAGCTGAGCTTGCATCGGAACAGCACGACCATGCTTTTATCATTTCCTCCTCCCCTCCCAGCCCATCCTGACAAATGCCTCTATTCTTAGCCTCCTGAAAATTCAGACTGCCTTGAAGCACAAAATAAGGAATTAGAGCCTAGTTATTGGAGATCTTGGTTCAAAACTCCATGCTCTAATCTGTTTTAACATCTAGGATTCCAAATACTATGTGGTGCAGTAACAATATATTCAGATTATCATAGCAATCTTTAAAAATATACAGTTTTTCAGTGAATATGAAGAATCGCCCTCTTCAATATAAATCGGATAGACAAACCTGTATGAACGTTTTCTTCTTTCTCTTCGTGTTCTTTTTGGAGGGCTTAGAGCCTCAGACAAACCAAGCTCTTCTGATGATTTGTTGAATTGACTTGATGAGGTTATACCTATATAGATAAATCTTACTTTTAATTTTGGAATTTATGATACCAGAAAACTGCAAGCAAGTGTGCATAAAATTCTGCATATTCAAAAGTACCTGATTATTTACAATTCTACTTGATGCTCAAGGTTGTATATTTTTGTGAAACTGGCTTGGAAAAAGCACTTCCCTATAATTAATCCATTACCTGTATCTCTAACCTCTGTGCCCAAGCTAGCCCATTCAGTCCTCCCTTTTTCCCTCCCCCTGTCCCTTGTTCCTATCAAAATGACCACTCTGCATCATTTCCTTTCCCAGAAGGAAAAGATATGAAGTGGGAGTTGCGGGCACCTGACTGGATCACATACAGGCATAACTGTCATGACGTGGTCACTTAAAAGTTCCTTTCAAACTGCTCCCCCGAGAATGAATAGCATTATGAATTGTAGGATTTGAGGTAAGGCCCAGGCCACTGTCCTCCAGTGACAAAATGAGGGAGAGAACAGAATCATAACCCTCTAAATTCCATTCTGTCCTTCTGAATTCCCTTCTCCAGTAGGCCTGGGACTCGTCCTGCGTGCTTCTCTGTGCTGCCTGCTAGTGCTTTCTGGTCCTGTATGTGTGGAGCCTCTGGCCTTGCCAGTTTCAGAGACAGAATGGAGGGTTATTCTCCTCTATCACAATTTAATAGAAATCTTAATATTATTCTTTCCTGCATTTCATTTATGCTCTACATATACAAACCACTGAAAAATAGTGAAAATGACAATTCAATATATTTGATTTCACCCAAATCCAAATATATGAGTTAAAGAAAATCTGTTGCACTGAAAATCAAGTTTTTGAAATACAAAAATATTTTATGGATTGTATGATGAAGTATCTTATAATCCCATCAGCAATATTTATTCTAATACTGCCTGCCTCAAAAAGGATCTATGGGTTTGATCCAAAGTTCTGTGGAACAGGAACATTAAACCTGATGTTCCAATAAATATATTTCTGATTATTCCTCTCAGCCTCCAATCCCCTGTACTGTGGCCAAAGTTAGAACATGACACTACTAGCTACAGAGAGAATGGTAAACTGGCAAAAATTGCTTCTTTATTTCCCTTCCTTTCCAAAGTAACTACAAGTGGTCCTCGACTTATGATGGCTATTGGGACCAGAATTTCCATCGCTAAGTTATGCACTCGTAAAGCACAACCACATCACTTAGCAATGGCAATCCCTACAATCCCAGTTGCCGTTGTTAACCAAATCCCACGGTCATTAGGCAAAGCAACTTCCAGCTTCCCCCAGCCAAAGTCAATGGGAAACTGGCAGGAAGTTGTACGTCCCAGGCCGGCAGGCACCCTACTGCTGGGGTACACTGGGGTACACGGGAGGGTTGAGCAGGGTGTGAGGGAGGGTCGAGGAGCGTGCACGAGGGTACGACATGGGACAGTGTCCAGGGGTGCACAAGAGGGTGTGCGAGAGGCATGGCATGGGTTGGGGAGGGTGTGCAAGTGGCCAGTGTGATGCAAGCACAGAGGGGCTGGGGGAGAGTGTGTGAGGAGAGGAGACTTACCCCAGCGACTTTTGACCTTCCCTATTGGCTTCCCCACTGACTTTCTAGGGAAGCCAGCAGGGAAGGTTACAAGTAGCAATCACGTGATTGCAGGGTGCTGCAAATGGTTGTTAGTCCAAACTGGTTGCCAAGCACCCAGATTGCAATCACTTGACTGTGGGGGTGCTGGGAGGGCTGGAACTCTGAGGCCCAGTCATAATGACCATTTGTTCAGCACCATTGTAACTTGGAATGGTCGCTGAATGAATGGTAGGAGGTTGAAGACTACCTGAAATGGTGTCTCTTACTGGAAGTGTGTGAATAGAAAGTCATTTTCAATTCATTAAAACTTTGGGCCTAATTCTACATAACTTTATTACTTATGTTTCTAAATTTACATTCATTATATTTAAAAACATGGTGTGCCAAAATGGCTTTTCAGGCAAAATGTATGTGGGCCTCAGTACATGCCTACCTAATTCCTGCTCTATTGATTTAAGTTTCTTTTCCTGTTCAGCAAACTCTTCTTTCTTTCTTTGCATTTCTACAGTATCTATTGATTGTTGTAGTTCTTCAAGTTCTGTGTTTACTTCATTAAATCGAAGAAATGCTGTACGGTACTGCTGAAGGAGAACTAATATATAAAGAAAAAAGATTTATAGGTTACTAAAGTACTACAACACTATAATCGGTAATCCTTCCATTCCAAAACTGTAGTAATTAGCAGAAACAGTGAAGTCACAATTCATTGTCATTAAAAAAAGTATTGAAGAATATTTGATACATGATTTGAATTTTTTTCTTAAATGTATAGAATTTCAGCGTAAGAAAATGTTGTATTTGCTGGTGAGTTATCATGTGGTGCCCTCTGAACTTTGAAAAGATCCTTTGGGATACCCCCCCCCCCAATTCCTCCTTGAAATATAATTAAACTAAGGAAATTCCTGCTTCCAGGCACCTTGTGTCTTATTTTTTCCCAGAAAATGTGTGTGCCACCTATAACTTGTATATGCCCAATAAAAGTATGTTTTGAAAGGGAGGGGAGGGCAGGGGAAGGGGGGAAGGGCAAAGTAACAATCTTAAAAGCATACTTTTCAAGACCTGGCACCTGGTAAACTTTGTAATTTTAGATTTCACTAATATATAATGTATATAATTCCTGTTGCTTTCCTAAAATGATGCTTTTCTAAAAGTAGAAAAAAAAATCTCTTCTAAATTAGAGCACTGGACTTTGTTTATTTTATATCACTGCATAGCAAGAACCAAATAAACTTTTATTCACTGATGATACAATAGAAATGTACATTAGCCTACAATAGTTTGCCTTTTTAATGGTAGCAGTGTACATAACACTGGCAACAAGCTAAAAACTTCTATTTCCATTAGCTTAATATAATTCAGTAATCAATTTAATTAAAATCTAGCAGTACTGTAATTTTAACTGAATTCTTAAGAGTAAAAGCTTAACAAAAATATTCTCTAATAGTTTATTTCATTTATTAAAATCTGAATGCACCTATGTGTGCAGAGAGAATATTGTAACCCGGTGGCAGAGGTGCTCCAAAAACCATTCCTCGAAGCTTTTCCATAGGAGGGGCTATATTTTGAAAGCCTCCAAACTTTCCATTGCTGCAAATTCTTTCTCCTTCTCTTGTTAATAAAGTTGGGCAATGTGTCATTTTCATAACCTATATATAAAGAGATAATCTGCTTTTAAAATTCAGTATTTTTGTTGTTGTTGAAAAGTAATTCTATGCCCTTAAAGCTTAAGTTATTAATATCTCAAAAATCCCTCAAAAGGGAAGGAAAGTGCTTTTTCTGGAACCCTATTAGAACAAATGTAGACTTTTTAAAAAGAACTGAATTGCTGCATAAATGATATAGGATGAAATGGTAGTCCATGTATACACTCATTGGGCCCTGTATGAACTCTTTATAGTTATATATATTTATATATTTCATACAAACCCGTTTGATTTAAATGAGAGGTGCAAAAGTGTGCCCCATGACATATATAAACCACCAGCATCTATCTGCATCTCTCCAGAGCTCCTTCACAATGAGTTTGACCTCCCCCCCACAAAAAAACATCAAACTTATGGACTGTATTTGAAGACAGCTGGTAAGCTAAAAATGTAATTAAACACATTCTACCACTTTTGGTATTTGGGGAAAAGAAAAATGCCTTCCTACTGCCCCTTCTACAGCACAGACACCTATTGTTCAGCTGCTTCCCCCTGTAATCTCAGCTTCTGAGGAGTCTGGTTGGAAGCAGGTTAGAGCTCTTCTTCCAGGATCTCATCTTTTTTGTACAGTAATCACTTCAATGCATACAGTATAGAAATCTCAATGCAGCTGACTAGGAGGCAAAAATATTCCTTCAGTCCTGAGCTTGGCCCTTCTCTCAGCATTTTGCAGCCAGTCTGTTTCTTAAGCAGAGGAAACTTATAGTTGGTGAAGAGGATAAGAATCCAAAGGATCGGAATTTCATCACAAATACTGTGTTCTTTTGAACTATTTTTTATTCTTGTATTTGCTTCTCCCCTTAAGCCAAACTTGTGTTTATAAAGTTTTCTCTAAATTTTCTGAGGGAGGGAAATCTAGATTTACTATTTGTACTGAAGAGAATACATTTTACTGCAATAATTTATCTTTAAAATAGAATTGTTTCAGATTACCTAAGAGTAAGATGAGCTGAGTTTTTTCATGTCTAAACAACTTTTTGGTGGGAACTGTCTGAAATACAGAGTTGCCTCCCTTTTAGTATACAGGTAGTTCTTGCTTAACAATGATAATTGGGACCAGCAACCCCATCACTAAGTGATGTGGTCATAAAGTGTGATGTCACATGACCACGCCAACTTACAATGGCAGTTGCAGCAGTCCCAGTTGCTGTGGTTAGGCAAATTCCATGTAGTTGCAGTGTCCTGTGCTCATACGATCACCATTTGCAACCTCCTGCTGGCTTTCCCATTGACTTCGCTTGTCGGAAGCTGGCAGTGAGGTCACAAATGGTGATCCTGGGACTGTGGGGGCACTGCGATGGCCACAACTATGAGGACCCATTGTTAAGTCCCCCTCATTCAGCACCGTTGTAACTTCGAACAGTTGCTGAACGAGTGGTCATTCAACAAGGACTACCTGTATATGTTGATGGCACTTAATTGTACCCTGTGATCCTGGAGATGTTGCTGAAGTCTTGTCTCAGTATTTGGTGGCTATGAGGGTCTGGATAGGAGAGAACAGGCTTAATCTTAACAGGGGGCTGAACACCACAAGCATTGCTCCTTCATGGTGGAGCTGGCCCCCTGAAATGGCTTCCTGTTGGAGATCCACTTATCTCCAGCATTATCTGCCTTCTGGAAAAAAGTTGAAAACAGCTTTTCCCAAGGGCTTTGGGGATTTGATGTCATGTATTGCTTTGGGATGTTTTAACACATTTATAAGATATTTTTGTTTAATTATTGGGCTCTGTTTATTATTGTCAGCTGCTGAGAGACTTATATGATTGTGGTAGGATATAAATCTGATAGCTAACTAGCTAGCTAGATGGTGGGCAAATTATTCCTATATTCCCCAAAGTGACCTCTTATTTGAGCATCCAAGAATTGGGGCACGCACAGGATATATTATCTATACCTCTGAATATTGTCTTGGGGGACTACCTGGTGCCAAAACTGGAATTTGTCTTTGGGACATGGCATTCAGGCTCTCCTCCATATAATCAGTTTCTGTTTTCTATAAGCTGCTAGGAGGGCTAAGATTTAATGCCTTACCCCCTGCTCCTCTTTGACCTGTTTGAAGGAGGAAGAAGAACAGATGGTATTGCTTTTATTCTCTTGCTGCCCACCTACTATGTAGGAGAGATCTGGGAATCTTAGTACACATAAGCTAAATGGTCTCTTTAAAATTAGTACACATAAGCTGTGGTCTCTTTAAAATCCTAGTACTCCCAATTCATAGCTAACATGTATTTACATCTTATTTGGAATTAGAAGTTGTCTTTTTCTTTGAATACCTTTTCCTAGCTAACATACAAAAGAGGGGAATATACTCTTCTCTAAATTGATTAACTTTTATATAAACTAATTGAATTAAACTGCTCTGCTTAACAGAAAGGGCTGATCTGGAAAGTTGTATTCCTCCTTCACTTCCTAGGAGAGGCAATATTAATACGGACAATGTCTAGTTGCATCAGAGGAAGACTCTGTTACCGAGTAGAAAATGGGCATCATAGAATGGGGCAAGCCATTTGGGAAATAAGGCTTTTATGAGTTTGTGAATAGAATATAAATGAAATTTGGCTAAACCTTTTTTTCAGATGCTCACCTGTATATAAGCAGTGAACAAAGTCCCTTAAAATTGTAATACACACCTCTTTTCTGTAATGGTTGGCAGCATCCAAATTGTCAATAATAATTGTATTACCCAAGAGCATCCCAAACACTGTAAAGGTACATAAAATATTGAGAGTGTAATAATACAGTATTTAGAATATAAATCAATATATAAAAAGTTGTTTCTATTCACACTAACCTATTAATACTGAATACAATGTTAAAATCTTGATATAGTTAACAGAATTACCTCTAAATTAGAAGGGAATTTTGCTAAGGTAATTCAAGATAAGAACTGCATTGTGTGTAATTAAGTGTTGGATTTGACAGAATCCACCTTTAATAAACTATACATATTCAGAGACCATATATTTGTATGTAAATTCAGGGCATGTAGGTATTTGTATGCTCATCCTGTGCCTTGTTCTGTAGTTGCTATTTTTCAAGATGACTGTCATGCGAATAGCTATCTAATAATTCATGCAGAACTGCATGTAAGAGGGCACATTTGGAGGTTTATATAAAGGAGTTTTTTTCCCCCAATAAAATGGTGAAAAGTGGTGCTACTAGCTACTAGGGATGTGTAAACCTCACTGTATCAAGAATGTTTCAACAAACAATACTGTTTTGGGGACACTGGTTTTAGGAAGTGAATGAGTTGGAAGGGAGTTGAGGTGTTTGAGGCCTGTTAGATCTGAAATACCTTGAATCACTTCCATGTTGAAAAATTTATAGAAATTGCCAAATTGCCCAGAACAACATAGTCTGGAAGGGGAACGAACATTCTGGAGTTTGCCAAATGTTCTGTACCAGAATTAGTGAGTTTTGCACATTCTTGCTATTACAATTATCAGAAGTTCAACCTAGTGGGTTATGACCAAGAATATGACCCAGTGAAGCATGTAAGAATAGGAGAAGGAAGATTGTGCTCTGCTTTGATGACATTGCATGTTTCTTAGTCTTTTGTTTCTTAGCCTAACCTGTCCTTGAGAGCTTAAGTAAAAGGCAGGGGGAGGGGGAAATGTCACAAGTCCCTTACAGAAAGGGTGGAATAAATAAGAATATTTATTTAATGCTTACTGAAAAGGAACTTTCTCATGGCAATTTACTACTGGCCAGATGGCACTGGTATTTGATGGAGAAGATGACTTTCCAAGGACATAGTTTCCTGAAGCTCTTTCAATTACCAGCCTGGTATAATGATTCAGGTGTTGGACTACAGAGACCCAGGTTAAAATCTATATTCAGCCATGGAAACTCACTGGGTGATTTGGAAGTTATTCACTCTCAGCCCAGCCTCCCTCACAGACTTGTTTTGTGGGAATAAAATGGAGAGTGACATCCACGTAAGCTCCTTGAGCTCATAAAGAAAATGTGGAATATAAACCTAACAAGCAAACAATTTTCCCATTCTTTCTATGATATTTACCTGTTTGGCAATTCTCCTTGTGCTCTGGAAATATTAGCAAGTCCCTAGCAAATACAGGATTTCCAACAGGGCTGAAACAGTTTCTTTCATTTTTCAAGTGAGGTAAAGGTCTGCTTAAAAAAAAAGGTATTTTTTCATTGTTGACTTTGTCAGATAAATACAAAACATTTGGCAACCATTTAGATATTCTAGTGCTGACTACTAGGATTCTAAAGGGGAATTCACATGTTGGATGTATTACAATATAATTTACCATGTACAGGATATGAAACAGAATAATATGAGACAAATTGATTCTTTCACAAGAAAATCATCATTAGGAATCCAGGAAAACAAATCCCCAGCTATTATTTAGCCACTCAGATGTAGTGGCTAAGGTGCTGGGCTAAACTGGGAGACTATAAGTTCTACTCTTCCCTTAGAAGTGAAAGCTGGTGGGTGACTTTGGGGAGTCACTCTCCCTCATCCCAACCCACCTCACAGGGTTGTTGTTGTGGGGGAAATTGGAAGTGGAACGCTGCCTTGGGTTGACCAAAAATAAAGGCAGGATAAAAATCAAATCAATTAATAAACAAATTATTTTGTGCAGAGATGAAACTGAACTTTTGGACTTATTTGATGCATTTATGAATTTGACGGAGATTTAAAAGTAGGAATTTGGTTTCCACAAGGAGACCTTTCTTTTTCAAAATTTGTATGTGATAAAATGTTCAACATAAACTGACAAAAACTATGAAATGTAGAGGTAGTCTTCAGGTTACAGTGGCAACTGGGTCCAAACTTTCTGTTGCTAAGCAATGTGGTTGTAAAGCGCAACATCATGTGGTTCCATTGCTTAGCAACGGCAATCCCAGCAGTCCTGGTCACTGTTATAACTCCAGGACTACAAGGGTTGGTAAGTGGGAAGAGGCCAGAGTCCCAGGCAAGCAGGCTGGCAGGTGAGTGTGCAGGTACTGTGGAACATGGGTGGGTGCCTTGGCCTGGCACTTCTGACTTGTGACCTCCTCCCGGCTTCCCCGTCATAATCATGAGCTGGGCACTGAGCACCTGATCGCAATCACGCGACTGCAGGGTTGCTGTGATGGCTGGGACTCCAAGGACCAGTTGTAAGTCCCCATTGTTCAGCACTGAACGACTAGTCATAACCTGAGGACTACCTATAAATATTAGTGAACATGTTCTACACTGATCTTCAAACATGGTGTAAACATGATGTGATTTAGGTTAAATTGTTCCCAACTGTCCTGGGACTTATATTTCAAAAACCAAGATTTGTTTTTTTAGTGTGACCTGAAAGAGCATTGTAGTACTCCCAGGAACCATCCCCACATTTTACAGTTATATTTACATTCATCTTTTTTCTTTCTTGAAGCACCTGCAAAAGGGAACACACGGCTTCTATTACACTCAAAAGATTGCATATTTAAGAAGCCAAAGCTGCCCTGGAGAATAATATATGGAACACAATCTATCTTGCATTTTGCTAAGAATTTGATTGGATTGCAACTGTTCATGCTATTAGAATAAGATTTAATTTTTTTTTCACTATTCTAAAAATAGCCTGGAAAAGTAGAAATAAACTTCTGAATTAGCTCCTACCTTATCCCTTCTGGCTCTAGTCTTAAGCAAGGAAATAAACTTTGGAGTTGACAGAATCACAGAATTGGAAGGTGCCATTTAGGCCAATCTCTCTCTCAGTGCAGGAATCCAAATTAAAGGATGTCAAGCATTGTATGTCACTTCTCAGTTACAGGAAAAAAAACTATAAATAAAAGAATCTAAAAATG